CTCCAATCTGACTGAACTGTCAACTCCACAAGGGCAGGGACTTTGTTGAGCGTGATGTCACTTGCTCTGCACCTACAGCACTGCTTGGCGTGAGATAATATTTGTTGAATAGCAGTGAGGAGGACCCCACTTGCTACTGCGGAACTCACGGGGCCCCACGCTCAGTGGTATAAACCCAGCGAAAAGATACCTTCAACTATAACAGTTGGATTATGAGGAGACTTTTGGAGGAAAGAGACTTGGATTTTGGAGAGGATGACTGTAGTTGAATTCCAATTTTTGCATTTAGTAACTGCATGAATCTTGCAGAAAATTACTCAACCTTGTTTCTGCAGCTGTAAAACAGAGTTAGTAACTTGCAGGGTGGGCCAAAGAGCTAATGTGAAAGGGCCAAGTACAATGCCAGGGGTGTTATAGTCCTTCGGTAAATATTAAGGACAAAAATATGCAGATAAAAGTGGTGAATGCGAGAAGGCCCTAAATGGTATATACAACCAGAGAAGAGGTAGAATTTAAATTAAAGAGGAGGGAATGAAAGATATCATTGGAGAAACAGCAACAAAATTGATGACAAGCTGGATGAGAGGATTGAAAAAGGGAAAGCAGTGAAGAAAGCCAACTCTGCCATGAGTTTCTTCCCAAACCATTGAAAAGGTTTACAGAGTGGACAGAGGTCTGGCCTTTCCCACTCCATCAATTTCTCAGGATCTAGAAGTAAGAAGAACAAATGTAGATGCATCCACAAGGGAGACCTGTGAAGCAATTTAGTTAAATGAGCCAATTTAGGTAAATTAGGACAAATCAACCATGCGCTGATAAAATACTGCCCCCTGACGTGATGGAATTCTTACTAATAGCCCTCCAATTAAATGTGCAGTTGTCCCTGCAAAGTCAGCCAGGTTACCAAGGTTCTGGTGAGGTGATTAGAAAAAATATAGCACAGTACTTTAGAAAGTTGATATTTTATTATTTGTAATTTGATGGAGGACCTGTGTATCAGCCCACTTCTGTTACTGCGTTCTACTGCAAATCACTTTCTGTCTGCATACCTACCTTTCTATCCATCAACTTCCTACCTACCTATCTGTGAGAGACTTGGTTTCTTAATTTATAACAAGACTATATATTGTGTTACTTAGATTATATTTTATAATGTGACAATACTTTGGAAAACATTAGAACACCATCATACAGATAGGAAATAATATATTTATGTCTATACCAATTATTTTGAAACTTATTCTTAAGGTCCACACTATTATTTTATAATTTCCTGAGTACAAGTTCTTTTTTTCTTAAGGGAATTTGCTATTAGAGAGGGAAATATTTTTTTAAAAAGCAATTAAAAAATTTTTCAATTATAGTTGACATACTTTTCTTTCTTTTGTGAAACTCACACTGTCTTGAACATAGGACAAGCCACTGAAAGTGATTTTCCTATCTTGATTTTTTAAATGATCTCTCAATATTCAGTGTTTTCTTTGGCTAGGTGGGGTGACTGAGACTTTGGATCATCTAATTGCTTCAAATATGGCTCATCATCAAGTTTATAAACCCCACAGCTGATGACCCCTAAAGAAAATAATGTGATATAAAACAAATGACAGCATGTGGTCAGTATACATTGGGTATATTATCTGTGAATATAAATATAGACCTTGTGATACATTATTATATGCTTTTTAGCTTCCTCCTTTCATGGGCCATTAGGAATTGTCCTCTTTAACAACTTTTTAACGTAATAACCCCTTTTCATTAGCCTGAGGCAACTCCAGACTGAAGTTACTCAGAAACACATAGGCTTGAAGATCTGGAATTTTCATATAGTATCTGTGCACTATTGGTCAGATAGCTTAGCCTTTCTGAAATTATTTCTTCATGGATGATATAGATGTGTTATCACTTAACTGGGTTGTGAAAGTGAGATAATTATGAATGAGGGAATCTGAGTTCATATTTTGATGCCTGGCACAAGGTTTGTTTTCAACAGATGTTTTCCTAAGACTGAAATTTCCACGAATGATTTCATGTTTTCGATGAAGAAAAATTTGCTCTCAGCTCTTATAAGCAAGCATCTCTGCTTGTAGTATCATATACTCAATTAACTGTCTTTTTAAAGTTGCCTGTCTGTATGTCCTCTCCCCACCCCAATGCTCTCCCACACTGAAATGTGTTGTCACCCCCCTACTGAGTGACTTGAAGGCCATATTCATGAACCTCGCCATTTCATATTCATGAACTCTCTCAGCACTCACGCAAAGCTGAACTCATGTATGTATGCATGTATATGTCTATTTGAGTCCTGTGTGCATAATTTGGATTTTTCTTCATCTCTTTCATTTTGTATTTTGAGTTTGATGAGGTCCAAAAAAGTATTGTGCCTTTATTTTTTATTTTTTACTATGTCTGTGCTAGTATCTAACATACAGAGAAGTTCTGTACATCACTGGTTGCCATTCAGAGTGGAAATCATGTTTTGATCTTGTCCACTGAGTTTAGTGTATTTTGGGTGATCTGTAAATATTACATAACAGTGTCTTTTTGTGAGGTGTAAGACTCTTGTAACTAATGGCTACAATCTGATCATTTGAAGGAATGACTTCCTGTATGGCTGGGTGGTTTTCAGAGAGGTTTGTAAGAAATGTGAGACTAGGCAGTGCACTTAGAAGTCTATCAGAGAAGACAATCAATGAATGGACCTTTGAGGTGATCTGTGTGAATGAGTGAAAGAGAAAAGGGGTTTGGGAATCCCGTGATAGGTTATACTTTCTCTGTTATAGGTCGAAGAGTTAGTCTGGCCATTTTTTCAGAGATGCAGCCTTATTTTTTTCAACATTATCTTTATTAAAATAAAGTTAATCTTGGGCTTAGAAAGATTTTTCTCTTCATTTCTTTGACTAGGAATTATACAGTGATCAGAACAGATGTGCTCTCTCTTGTTGAACTTTCTCTCCTTGTTTCCCCCCCTCCCCTACATAAATAAAAGCAGTATTTCTAATGTATTTCCAAAACCTGAAGATTCTGCTTTTGAATAGTAGTCTGCTTAAACAATAACCAAAATTTCAATTTTTTAAATAAACATAATAAATCTTTATATAAATCAATAAGAGAATACTGAATTGACTAAAGAAAAATATCGGGTTGCACAAAAGTTCATTTAGTTTTTCCCATATGATGGCTCTACACGGGCTTAGTCGTCTTTAACTTAATTTGTTATATTATATTGTGACAACTGTTTTATCAACATGCATTTTTTAAAACTTTATCAAAATTGGTGAATTTTTGTGCAGCCATTTTAACATGGAAGATGGAAGAAAATGTGTAACATTTATAGCATATTATGCTTTATTTCAAGAAAGGTAAAAATGCAACTCAAACACAAAAAAAGATTACTGCAGTGTATGGAGAAAGTGCTGGGACTGATTGAATGTGTCAAGAGTGGTTTGAGAAGTTTCCTGGTACTATTGACATTTTGGCCAAATAATTCTTTGCTGTGAGGTTTTCTTGTGCATTAGAAGATGTTTAGCAGAAAACGTGGCCTTTACCCATTAGAAACCAATAGTGGGAGATAGCCGACATACTCAAAATATCCAAATCAATCAAGTTATTGGTGAAAGTGAAAAATGTGTCTTTCATTTTACGGAAAAAACTAAATGGACTTTTAGACCAACCCAGTATAACCCTCTCCTACTGGAATGCTGCCATTTGGACCCATACTAATATTTCAGTTTATGAGACCAGCCACGCAAATGAATGGGATGAAGAAGAAGGAAAGGTTGTAGAGGTGCAGTGCCCAGGAGAGAAGCCAGCTGTGGGAAGTGAGCCCAGGGGCCGGGGCTGACCCGGAACTGTTGACACAGTCAGGATGGGAAATCCTTATGTGATCATTTGTTTTTAAAAACAGGATTATGAAGCCCTGGCTGGTGTATCTCAGTGGATTGAGCACGGGCCTGTGAAGCAAAGGGTCACAGGTTCAATTCCAAGTCAGGGTACATGCTTGGGTTGTAGGCCAGGTCCCCAGTAGGGGACACATGAGAGGCAACCACACATTGATGTTTCTCTCCCACTCTTTCTCCTTCCCTTCCCCTCTCTCTAAAAATAAATAAATAAAATAAAAACAGAATTATGATATACAAATTGTTTTGTGACTTGCTATTTTTATTATAATGAATAAAATTATAAGCATCATTCTGTATGATTAAATCTTTTAAAAGCATCTTTCATATATCTAAGTTAAGTATTCTGTTGTTTATTCAATAATATTTTAATCCAATCTTCTTTGTTGACTGCCTAGGTGATATTTATTGTTTAAAAATTGGAAACTGCCCTGGCTGGGTAGCTCAGTTCTTTAGAGCATCGTGCCGATGCACTAAAGTTGAGGGTTTGATCCCCCAGGGGATCATAAAGAAAAATCAACCAGTGGATGCACAAATAAGTGAGGCAACAAGTTGATGCTTCTCTGTCTGTCTCTCCAACTCTCTATCTTTCTCTGTCTCTCCTTCTCCCTCCTGTCTCTCCAAAATCAATAGTTAAAAACATTAAAAAAATTAGAAACTATGTAATGATGAAGATTCCTGTAGATAAATTCATGTTCACAATCATAGTTATTTCATTAAGATAAATTTTTTAGAAAAGATATTACAGTGTCAAATGGTATGCATGTTCAAAAGATTTTTTTTGATGCATATTGCCCTGCTCAGCTGTGATCCAGAACAGTGACTGCCAATTTCTATGCCCACCAGCTACGTGCATTTTTTCCACACGTTTGCTCAGGACACAATGTTCTGCTGTGAATATAAGTACCTTGATTTCATTATCACACACGTGTATTTGAGTGCCCTCCACATATAATCCTGTGTGTACATGTCTGATTGTGTGTCTGTTATCATTCTTACAAAATACATTTTATCTTATGAACACATTAACCTCTCATATCAGCTGTTTGTAAATTGGCAATTCTGACGTGTCCGCTCCTAACTGTAATTGTCTGGACTTCCTAGGTGCCTGCATGAACATCACCCACAGCCAGTGTCAGATGCTGCCCTACCACACCACGCCGACAACTCCCCTTTCAATCGTCAAGAACATGGAAATGGAGACGTTCCTCAAATTCTTCATGTACCTGCACCGCCTCAGTTGCTATCAACATATCATGCTTTTTGGCTGTAGCCTTGCCTTCCCCGAGTGCGTTGGTGATGGTGATGACAGGTATTTTGGAACCAAAGTCATTTGGTGATAAGAGTCCGTTGTAGCAGAAGTATCTGACAGGAACAAAATCATCCCAGGCTACCACATTTCGGTGGTGGCGTTGTTAAGGGAGAAGAACACACACACACACACACACACACCCACATCAATCATCGCCATTTGTAATTCTTTCAAACTAGAAACTTTCTGAAGCCCTGGAATAATTTTACATATGGGGAGAAACTATTCAGCGTGTTGTATTGATGCTGTCGGCCATGGTACTCAGTAGCTACCTCAGTGAGGGTCTGGCAGACGACAGAGAGCACACCCAAAGGGGTGATGGAAAGTGTTTAATGGACAGGCTGTTCATGGAGGTGTAGTTAGGCTTAAGAGAACAAATAAGTGATGGGAGACATCAGGGTCCCATCTCCCATAGGGAGATGTAGTTCCACCACCGGAGACTTGAAGGGGGAAGAGGGTGGGCAGCCCCTGGAGAGGGTTATAGGGAGGGGTCAGGGGTCTCCCAATAGTCCAAGTGCTATGACCGCAGGCAGAGGACCACAGCAGTTCTTCAGGGATAGAGAAGAAACAAATACCCTGACCTCACTCTCCTCCCGCCCGTCCATCTACCAGGGCCTCCCGCTGAACTCACCAACAACCACTGGGCAAGGACTTGCAGTTAATGGGAGCTCAGTAGATAAGATCCAAAATCTCATGTAAATATCATCAGCTGAAAAGTCCCATATCTCATCCTCTACATCAGGTGTGGGTGAGATGCTGGGTGACTTTCGTGGTCTGGCACTCAGAGCAGGGCAAGGAGGGTGAAGGGTAGGTGCAGAGGGACAGAGAACGCCCAGTCCAGTGTCCAACAGGATTAGAGATAATTTTTTTACCACCCCTCTGCCCACCCCAGATTAGAGATAATTTTCAATAAGTGTGCATCAATGAAGATAATGTCAGGGAATATTTGAAATACTAAGCATACACTTTAAAAGCACGTGTTAAAATAATGACAGTTACTTTCTGAATTGAAATGTTAGGGGGTTTTTAGAATAGTGATGTTAGATTGAAATGCATTTTCAAGTGCAAATAGATTGCATGTTATTTGTACTAATTTAATTAGTGTATAAAATAAGCTTTTAACAGGAAAAGCCATTTATTATTCGAACTGTAAAAAGCCTGCATTGCCATAGAATAAAAACTAGACAGAACAGAAACAGTAGATTCTGAGCTTTTGAAGTAAGAAAAGAACTGTCTGCAGACCCAGCATTCAGGATAGCTTTGCTGCAAAGAACTATCAGCAGAGGCCGCCTTCATGGTCAGAAGAGAGAGAAGCGCTGTTGGGCCTTTCCCAGGCATGAAACCGGATGGCAATAAAGAGTCCCTTTATGATTGCTAGAACAGTGGCAGTGTGACAGGGTGATTGTATTAGTTTCCTAGGGCTACTGTCACAAATTACTATGAGCTGGGTGGCTTCGGCAAAGGAAATTTATCCTCACCCATTTCTAGAAGCCAGAAGGCCGAAATCTGGGGATTCTGGGGGAGTTATTTTCCTTTTTTTTCTGGCTTCTGGTGGTTTCAAGTGTTCCTCGACTTGTGGCCACATCACTGCAGTCTCTGCTCCTTCTTCACGTGGCCTTCTCTTCTGTGCCTTTGTGCCTTCTCTTCTGTCTCATATGAAGACACTTGTCGTTGGATGTAAGACCCATCCTGACAACCTAAGATGATCTCATCTTCTCAAGGCCCTTAACTTAATGACATCTACAATGACCTTTTTTCAAATAAGGTTACAGTCAAGGTTCTAGAGGATAGGACATGGACATGTCTTTTGGGGCCACCTTTGAGTTTCCAGCAGTGGCTGAGAAAGCAGGATATGGAGCCATGTGCCTCAGCCTTTTCGTCTGTAAAATGGACATAATAGTTGTATTTACTTTATAAAATTCATGTGAGATTTAAATGACAGAGAGTTTGGAATAGTGCCTGGCTTTTAGAGACAGTTCAATAAATATATGTCAGCAATAGTTTTCAAATAGTGGATTGAAAAGAAGCGCTAATAAAATTGAGAGCATAAAAACTATTTATAACATATGCTAAGTGTTAAAAAATTGGAAAAATGTGAAATACTCTATGGTTAAAAGAAAATTAGGTAGCCCTGACTAGTGTGGTTCAGTTGGTTGCATGTCATCCCACAAAGCAAAAGATCATGGGTTTGATTCCTGGGTTGTGGGTTCCGTCACCAGTTGGGACACACACAAGAGGCAACTGATCAATGTTTCTCTTGCATCAGTATTTCACTCCCTCTCTTTCTCCCTCCCTTTCCCTCTCTCTAAAATAAACAAATTAAAAAATTCATTCATTCATTCATTTAAAAAAATAAGAAAATTAAGTAGAATACTGAAGGATGCTACTGGATTCTGGTCCCATTTTTCCTTAATTTCAGACGATGTCACTGACATCTCTTTTCTCTAATTTTTCTATGGACTCATGTATGTGCATAAATAAGACAGAGGAAGAGAGTACATTCAGCTTCTAGAAAACTCTTATTTCATTTTGATCATCCTTATTATAATTCAGTTGCTGCTCTCAAGTTAAATTAGTTGCAAAGTTTTAGTTGAGGTGCTCACAGTCTTCAGGGTACTTTTTAGGTAAAATTTGTTTTTCTCCTGACCTGGTTCATCCTGAGAAATGTTCTCATGGGAGAGTTTTCCATTTTCTGTTATAATGGCTGATAATTTACAGACAGTTTTCAGGTGTCCTTTGGGGAATTAGGCTATTTTTTTTGTTACTACACTTATCATCATATTTAATTTTATAATTATACTTTCAGGCCATTGATTACTACTATCACTTATGATGAGCATGGGACCTGCAAGCTAAATTTAATAAGCAAAATAAATTTGTTGAAAGTAAAAGGTATTATAGAAAATAATTCTAAGAACTGGCTCTTGGATCCATTGATCTTCTGTATTGTTTTTTAGACTTTATATCATTTATTTCTGCTCTGATTTTTATTCCTTTAACTCACTTTGGGCTTTGTTTGTTCTTTTTTAAGTTCCTTTAAGTGTAAAGTTAGAGGGTTTATTTGAGCTATTTCTTGTTTTTTGAGATAGGTGTGTATTGCTACAAATTTTCTTTTTAGGAATGCTTTCCCAGTGTCCCACAGACTTTGGATTGCTATGTCCTCATTTTCACTTGTTTCAAGGTATCTTGGTTTCTTCCTTGATCTTATTGACCCATTCATTGTTTTTTTTTTTTTTTTTTTTTAAGTTTCTTTTTTTTTTTTTAAATTTTATTTAGTTATTTTTTCAAGTACAGTTTTTTGTCTATTTTTCCCATCCCAGCCTCCCCTGCCCCTTACTCCCCACCTCCCTCCCCTTTCCTCCCCCCCCTTAGTTCTCGTCCCTGTGTCCTTCCTATTTGTTCCTCCAAATCCCTCCCCTTTTTCCCCCTTAACTTCCCTTCCTTCTCCCCTCTGGTCACTATCCCCTTGTTCTCTATTTCAGTGTCTTTGTTTTTTGGGTTTTTTTTTTTTCTGCTTACTTGTTTGTTTTGTTGTTTAGCTTCCTGTTAAAGGTGAGATCCCATTCATTGTTTAATAACACTGTTGTTTAGCTTCCATGTCTTTGCACGTTTTTTAATGTTCTTCTTGTGATTGATTTCTAGTTTCATACCATTGTGGTCAGAGAAGATGCTTGATATGATTTCAGTCTTATTAAATTTATTGAGATTTGTTTTATGTCCTCACATAAAACAAGTTCTATCTTAGAAAACATTCCATGTGCACTTGAAAAGTATGTGTATTCTGCTGTTTTAGGATGAAATGCTCTGAAAATATCAATTAAATCCATTTGATCTAATGCGTTGCTTAAGGCTACTGTCTCCTTGTTGGTTTTCTGTCTGGAAGATGTATCCACTGAAGTCAAAGGGGTATTAAAATACCTGACTATCACTGTATTTCTGTTGGTCTTTCCCTTTATGTCCATCAAGATTTGCTTCACATATTTAGGTACTCTTCTATTGGGTGCATGAATGTTTAGTAGGGTTGTGTCCTCTTTTTGGATTGTTCCCTGTATCGTTATGTAGTGTCTTTCTTCATCTCTTACTGCTGCATTGGTTTTAAAGTCTATTTTGTCGGATATAAGCACTGCTGTCCCAACTTTTTATGTCTTTTTCATTTGCATGAAATAGCTTTTCCCACCTGTTTACTTTAGTCTGTGTCTATCTTTTGATCAGAGATGGGTCTCTTAAAGGCAGCATACATATTGGTCTTATGTTTTAACCATTCAGCTACCCTATGTCTTTTTGTTTTTGAGCATTTAAGCCATTTACAGTTAAGGCGATTATTGATAGATATGTATGTAGGGCCATTTTATTGTTAGACTGATTTTCTTTATTTTCTCTCTCTCTTTTTCTTCTCCTTAAAGCAAGCCCTTTAACATTTGTTGCTGTACTGGTTTGGTGTTAACAAACTCCTTTAGCTTTTTCTTGTCAGGGAAGCTCCTTATTTCTCCTTCCATTTAAAATGTTAGCCTTGCTGGGTAAAGAAGCCTTGGTTGTAGGTCCTTGCTTTTCGTCACCTTGAATATTTTACACCACTCCCTTCTGGCCTGAAATATTTTTGACGAGTAATCAAATCATGGTCTAATTGGTGCTCCCTTGTAAGTAACTATCTGCTTTTCTCTTGCATCTTTTGGGATTCTCTCCTTGTTTTCAAGCCTTGTCATTTTAATTATGATGTGTGTTGGTGTAGGCCCCTTTGGGTCCAATTTGTTTGGGATTCTCTGAGCTTCCTGGACTTATATGTCTTTTTCCTTCATCAGAGTAGGGAAGTTTTGGGTCATTATTTCCTCAAGTGGGTTCTAGATCCCCTGCTCACTCTCTTCTCTTGGTATTCCCATGATGCAGGTATTGTTCTGCTTCATGTTGTCCAAAATATTTCTTAAGCTCTCCTCATTTTTTAAAATATTCTTTTTTCTTTTTCCTGCTCTACCTGGGTGTTTTTTTCTACCTTGTCTTCCAAA